CTGGACACCATCACGACGCTGGTGGCCTGGGCCATCGCGCTGCTGGCCCAGCGCCCGGATATCCAGGAGAAGGCCTGCGGGGAGATCAGGCAGATGTACGGCGAAGAGCAGGCGCTGTGCGATGCCTACGACGACCAGAAGTGCGCGTACGTGGTCGCGCTAGTCAGGGAGTTCCTGAGATTCTACACGGTTCTGCGGCTGGCGCTGCCGAGGGCCACGGTCAGGGACATCGTGTACGAGGGCGTGCGGATACCGGAGGGCACGACGGTGTTTCTGAACGCGTGGGCTTGCAATATGGGTGCGTTGGTTTCCCCCCTGTGTCAATCCATCCACTGTGTTCTCCGTTCACTTGCGCTCGATTGAGCCCTTTGCTTTTCCACTCCGACGACATTGTTCTGTTCCGAACCTACACCGACTGACCTTGCCTCACTCATCGCCCACTCCGCAGACGCGGCCATCTGGCCCGACCCCGAGACCTTCCGCCCCGAGCGCTGGCTCGAGACGCCCGACGCGCCGCTCTTCACCTACGGCCTCGGGTACCGCATGTGCGCCGGCTCGCTGCTGGCCAACCGCGAGCTGTACCTCATCTTCATGCGCGTGCTCAACGCCTTCGAGATCGTCAAGCGCACCGACGTCGACGCGCACCCCGTCTCCGGCAGCGCGGACCCGACGAGCCTGGTCACGATGCCGAGGCGGTACGAGGTCGTGTTTAGGCCGCGCAACGAGAGGGCGTTGAGGGAGGCGTTGACGAGGGCCGAGGGGGAGGCGAAGGGGCAGGAGAAGGAGGAGAAGGAGAAGGAGAAGGTAGGGGGCCTTTGATCCGGAGAGGCGGGCAGGGGTGTCGCTGGAGATTCGGTTAATGCACTCGTATATTGCTGCATGGTGCCAAAACAAATGTCAAAACATAGCAAAATAGGAAAACAAAGGATTCAGATCATGTGCGAAAAGGCCCCATTGAATAGCCGGCTTTGGACTGTCCAGTCGCTCGATGAGCGGGCAGTGATGGACTCGACCAGGGTGAAACCTGCCGAGACTTGCGCCGCGGCCCCTGCGCCCTCTCAGCCACGAGTCCACCTACGTAGCAGCAATGACGGCGCACTTGGCGTCGCTTCAACGCCGTCTCCGTCAACGCGCCGCATCCCATCGCGAATACGATTGAAATGCGCCCGTTCCGAATGACATAACGACGTCGCCCGCCAGGTACGCACCCGAGCGCATTGCATCGAGCGGAGGAACCGCTCCGCGCGCGGCTGGCCGCCCCTGGGCTGCCGCAGCCCTGCAGAAGAGCGATGCTAGCACCAACAACACGGCCACCGAGACCAAGAACGACCACCACCACGACCACGACCACAACCGCGGCGACCGCAACCGCAACAGCAACGGCGCCCACCACCCTATGACCGACCTCGGCGGGCGGCAACGCGCCCGCGGCCGCCAGCCGCACAGCCGCAACCCCTCCGACAGCACCAACCCCATCGCCAGCCCTCCTCCGCACTACTCCACCACTACTACCACGACGCCGCACCACTACTACCACCACACGACGCACTCGTCGTCGTCGTCGTCGTCGGGGCCCGTCCCGGGGCCCGCTCCCGCACCGCCCACGTCCGCCATGGGCGCCACAGCCTCGCGCCTCTTCGCGCCGCGGCCGGACGAGGAGCTCGCGTACTCGAAGCGCGACGACGACCACGGGCGCGGCAGGCCGCGGCGCCCGCAGCACCATCACAGCCACGGCGACCCGCCGCCGTGGCGACGGCGCGGGCGCTGGCCGCTGCTGCTGCTGCCGCCACCGCCGCTGCGGTACCGCAAGAGGCGGCTGGTGGCGCTGGCGGCCGCCGCGCTGCTGCTGTGGCTGTTCCTGCGGAGCGCGCCCGCGGCCGGGCCGTGGCCGGCGCTGGCGCCGCAGCGGGACTCGGCTGGCTTTGAGGGGCGGAGGGGCGGCACGCAGCAACAACACCGAGACAGAGGAGGAGGAGGAGAAGGGAAGCACTACTACGGCGCAAGCGTGCCCTTGGACGAGCCGACGGGCGCGCCGCCCCGGGGCCCGCTCGACGAGCCCGACGAGACGGCGGCGGGCATGCCGCCGTCGCCCTTCTACTACAACGGCCAGGTGCGCTTCTTCCGGCTGGCGACGACGCTGCACCGGGCGGCGAGCGTGCGGTCCGCGGGCCGCAGCGTGCTCTTCGCCGCGGCGGACCTGCGGGCCGCGGCGACACTGCTGCCGCTGGCCTGCGACATGGCCCGCTGGAACCGGAACTACGTGCAGTTCGCGCTGCTGGGGCGCGACGCGGTGCCCATGGCGGCGGTGCTGGCGGCCAGCGGCGTGCGCGACTTCGACGAGCGCAGCATGCAGACGAGCGGCGGCGGCGACGGCTACTGCGCCGGCGTGTACTGGCACGACGCGCGCCCCGACTACGCGGCCTACAGCTCGGACGCGCGGGCGGAGACGGCGGTGCGCGCGGCCATGGACCACGTGCTGCGCATCGCCGGCCCGCGCGTCACCGTCTGGGACGCGGCGCCGGGCGTGGAGCCGGCCTTCTTCGCGCGCGGGCTGCGGGCCAAGGCGGCCCAGCACGGCCATCCGCTGCTGGCGCTGCCGGCCGGCGCCGCCGAGCGCCTCGCCTGGCTCACGCGCCTGGACGCCGGCGCCCTGGCCGCCTGGCCGGCCGCCCGCGTCGACGTCGTCGTGCGCGCGCCGCAGCATGCCCGCCGCCCGCACGCTTCAGCCGCGCTGACCCGCCTGCTCCGCTCGCTGGCCGCCGCCGACTACGCGCCCTGGCGCCCGCCCCGCCTCGTCGTCGACCTGCCGCACGCCGTCGACGGCCCCGCGCTGCGCTTCCTCGAGGCCTTCGTGTGGCCACCGCCGCGCCCCGGCCTCGCGCACTGGGACGACGAGGCGGCCGGCGGCGAGGCCGGGGCCGAGGGTCCCGCGGCGGGAGCGGCGGGTGCAGCAGGAGGAGCGTCGCGCGGTCGTGGTAGCAGCGGTCACCAGGACCCGAACCTGCTGGTGCTGCGCCGCCGCGTCTCGCCGGCGCCGGACCCGCCGCGCGACGCCGCCGCGCGCTTCCTCGAGCTCAGCTACCCGGCCGGCAGCATGGGCCCCGGCAGCGCGATCCCGGGCGCGGCGCCGCCGTCGGGGACGCCCGGGTCGGGCGACGCGGGCGGCGCCGCCGCCCACGTCGTGGTGCTGAGCCCGCACGCTGAGGTCGGTGAGCTGTGGTTCCACTTCGCCATGTACGCGCTGCTGGAGTACTGGTACGGCGCGTTTGGGAGCGCCGAGGCGGGCCGGGAATTGTTTGGCGTGGCGTTGGGGCCGCCGGAGCCGCCGGCAAAGAGTAGAGAGGGAGGAGCGGAGAACGAGGAGGAGGATGAGGAGGAAACGAAGGTGGCGTGGCCGACGATGGCCGAACTGGGCGGCCCGTACGGAGCGAACGCGGCGCAGGACGAAGGCCCCTCCAAGAACGTCGACGACCCGAACGCCCCCGCCCCGTTCCTATATCAGCACCCTTCGCACGACGCCGTGCTCGTCTTCGGGCCGCGTTGGGCCGAACTCCAGTCCTTCGTCGCGCTGCGCGGCGCCGGCATGCTGCCGCGCTCCTCCTCCTCCGCGACCGACCCCGACGCCCGCGAGCCGCCCGTTCCCCCGCCCCGCCGCCCGCGCGAGCTCCCGGACCCCGCCGCCGCGCCCGCCTGGGCCGAGTACGCGCTCGAGCTCATGCGCGCGCGCGGCTACGCCGTGCTCGTGCCGGCGCTGGCCGCGCCCGGCGACGCGCTCGTCGCGCTGCACCGCGAGCTGCTGGGCGCCGACGCCGCCGCGGCGGACGCCCGCGACGACGACGATGACGACGGCGACGCCCGCGAGCCGTATCTGAGGCCGCGCGTGAGCCGTCGCCCCGCCAAAGAGTCCGCGCAGCCCGCGCTGCTGCCTGCGGCCAGGCCCCTGACTGCCGCGCTGCCGCTCGACGCCGATTTGCCCGAGCTGTCGCACTTGCCGCGCGTGGCGCGCGGTGGGGCGCGGGTCGACGCCGTGGCGGCGGCGGAGGAGGCGGGGCGGTTCGCAGAGGAGTTTAGGCGGGAGGTAGGGGGGTGTGGCGGCGGTGATGGCGGCGGTGGTGGCGGCGGTGGTGAAGCGGGGCAGAAGAAGGGGTGGAGTCCGCCGGAGAGAATGGGGAGCGCGAGGGATTTGTGGTGTAGGGAGGGGTTCGCGGGTGTGGACGAGGGGGTCGTGGGCGCGGTGTGGGGGTGGGAGGATGGTGGGGAGGAGGTGCTGGTGGAGGGGGAGGACGAGGCGTGGGAGGAGGTGCGGAGGGTGATAGAGGGGCAGGAGGAGATGGGTGCGGATGGGGAAGAGACGAGTGGTGGTCTGGATGAGGTCGAGGAGAGGGACGCGATGGCGGGTGCGACGACGGAGCCGGAGCCGGACGCGGGAGAGGCAGAGGACAAGGCGGAGGTGTGAGGAGAGTGGTTGGTTCAGGGAGGGTTTCTTTCATTTCTTTTAGCTGCGGGTGCATGGCTGCTTGCGTGTTGAAGTGGACTGGATTAATTCCTTTTTTGGGGGAGGACGTAGACCGGGGGAGACATTTCTGTTCCGGACTTTGGCTTTGAGCGAATTAATTCATTGTTGCCATTCGTCGGGTTGTGCCCACTTTTAGATATCATGTACGGCGTTGTCCTTTTCTTTTATTTCCTCCTGACCTTTGTGTTAGACTAAGAGGAACTATTGCCTAGGATTGCGATGGTGGAAAAGTCAGTGATGTCGGTCCGGAATTAGTGATTCATTCTTGTGTGGTGCTAGAATATTTCTGGGGCAATAAAAGAATTTGTTGCTACAAAGCACATCTGTGAAGTGGATGTTGTTAACTTTACTGCACTGAGAAAGGGGAGTATAGAACGCTAGATATTATTTGTGTGGGGATGTATTTAAACTATATATATCATTTAGATAGGAAAATTGGCCAAATTCTGAGCTGAGGCTAGTTTGAATCAGCCCTAGACCACTCGGTTGTATAGTGTAGTGGTTAGCACTCGGGATTTTGACTGCTCCAAAGCGAAAATTCCCGCAACCCCGGTTCGATCCCGGGTACGACCTAAGTTCGTAATTCAGGATTTGACTTTTTTTTTTCCGTCTTTTCCTACTTTAATATTTATGCTCACTATGTATTTCAACATGTTTCACTTTTAAATTTGTTTTACCTTTATTGAGTATCTGCACTCCTCGTGCAAAAGTGCATTACCTAGACTCAACCTCAAACAAACTTCGGATGGCGAGGGAATACTCCGTTGTTTTCATCCTTTGAATAAGGGAGACTTGTTTTGGCCAAACTTAGGTTCATTTACTCCGTATTGGATAGACCTTTTTGCTTCGGATGTTTTGGGTTTTCCGCTCTCAATTACTTAGACTATGCTATATCTCGCGACGAGCTGTAAATTCTTTAGTTTATGAGATCATGCTATACTACTTTTTCTTTGCACACATGTGACTCGTTTATCAAGATTGCGACTTCGTTACGATCTAGAATGGTTCGGGCTAAACTTCTAGCATCAATATACAGGTCGCCAACCGCCCGCTACAACAGCAGATTCAAATGGCGTATGCTATTGAAGCATCATTTAGTTCTCGGCCAATAAATAATCTATCGCTCGATTAGGTTGCTCGGCCGATGAGAATATGCCTCGACACAGTCGGAATGATTTCTCGAGAACTCAGACCATGCTAAGTAGCCGTTACAGAACCGATAGTGCGCAAAATTCGGATCCAAATGTAGCACTCAATATGTCTAACGCACAGGTCTTGCTCTGCAGGAAGCTATATGGTTAACGTCACACTTCACAGAATAAAAGAGTCGTACTATTCTATAATGTAATGTAGCATTTTAAGACTCTAGCAATCTTAACAGTAGAGAATGGCAAGGGAAAGTTGCCAGACGCATAGACAAGGCTTGGCTTGCGTCTAACTTGAAGCAAAACCGGGTCGGTACGTCAAGTACAAAGGCAACTATACTCAAATAGTTGGAGTACCTGTGATGAGACTGGCCGCTATATATTTTGTGACCATATACACAAAATACGAGTGCTTTCCTATGTATTCAACGTCCGGGAGTCGCTGAGTGTCGAAGAGATAGAAATACGGGCGCCACTTGTCCGAGAGTGCCGGGTCGTTCTTGATGTACGCCCAAATCTTTTGTGTCATCGGTCGAGGAAACCAGTCGACGAAGCGCATCTCATCCATCAACTTAGTGACTCCATAGCAGTCCTCCTCAATCATGAAGTCCAACGGCCAGCCAGCAAAGCTGTCGATCATCTGATAATATTTTATCGCATTCATGAGGAGCGTGATGCTATCCTCCGGCTGAGCGATTCCAGCAGCGCTTATCTTCCAAATAATATTGCGCGCATTGCCAACGGTAGTTCCAGACTCTTCATTTTGGGCCACCCGAAGTACTTCGTGGTTTGAGTGGGACCGAATCCAGCTCCAAGGTATCAGCTCATATCCGACGAAGTTGGTGTAGTCCGTATCTGAGCTCAGATCATCGGTCGGGTATACAGCAAGGATAAACTGCGTATTGAGCTGGTAGATAGGAATTTTGAGTTCCAGATCCGGAATCGGGGCTATTGCGACCATTTGAGAAGTCATTGTCCACAGATTCTATGCAAATTTGCTTATATCGGTGTCTAGGTATTGCATGAACACTCAAAAGTCGATTTTGGTAGAGTGCAGTGAAGTGTCTTGCAGTGAAGTGTCTTGGTTCATTACCAGCAACATCAGCCCTTGTCTTATATACAAGTCATGGCCAATATTGTACACCAACAGAGCATGCATAGCTACAATCACTTGTCCGCTTCACACATGAAACCGATGGAAACCTATAGTTCTCCTCATGTAACACCCTCGACATCTCCTGGGGCCATACCAATCACTATTTATGTGCGGTTCTAAGTTTGCAACTGACATCTGCAGAAATTTTTTTGCATTAACTTCGTTTAGGGGAAACGTATAGGAACACGCAGGTAGACACCAACTGCTTACTCGTGAACACCCCCCCATCACCCGCTCTCTCTCACATAGGCTTTAATGGAAATCGTCACTAAAATGCCAAAAAGTAATGGCACATGTATCTACAAAAGGACAAGCGAAATTTGGGATCGATTGCAACGATGGACGCCCGAGCATTGCGAGAGCGTCAAGCGTCAAGTACGTTGACGCAAGAGTCGAATGAAAACATTGTTATTCTGCGCCGTTGTAGAGAAAATCCAACTGTCGGAGCCAGGGCGGCAAGCGCGAAATGGCTATCCATGCCTTCCGGGGGGTAGGTGAAAGGCTTTCAATGTTCAACTTCATTGCCCGTATAAGACTCCCCTCTCTTGAAGTGGCATAGCACTGAGATTTCAGAATCGCAATGTATACACAAAACCACGCATCCTTCTAAGCCCACTGTCATGTCCACAGAGCAATCAACCACTAGGAACAACTCAAAGACATAATACACTCGATTTGCAACACCACACGCTCAACTATTTGTCTAGCAAATAGCCCTTGACAATGTACAAACACGATACTACTGCTCTACATAGGCCACACACCACCAGCCCACCACCCTAAAATGCATTCCCACACTTTTACACCCTAGTACTGCCTCAAGCAGTCAACACGTAAACGTGCGTAGGCCGTGATAGACAGGCCTAATCGTACTTCAGAAAAAAAAAATCGCAATAGAAACACAAAACAAGAAAGGACAAGTCAATGACCGTCAATACCCAGCTCATATCACCTCACAAGCCTAGCGCACAAAAAAAGAGAAAGAGAAAGAGAAAGGGCTATTACCCAGACGCCCAAATAATGCAGTCCACACCCGCCCCCAGGCCATGCCCCACGATGTACCACATTCCCCTTCCCCAGCCTCCGCCCTCCTTTCATCCTTCCACCCCCTACCCACCCATCCTACGGCACAAACAACCTCGAATACCCCCCGACCTCCCTTCGACAGCACGCGCACGACACAAAGTTGCGCGCCGCCATGTTGACCCTACACTCGTCGCACGTCGTCAGGCAGCCGCAGGGCCAGAAGATGACGGTGCGCGGCGCGCTGTGGCACACGACGCAGACGGGACCATCGTCGCCCAGGCCCGCCGCACCTACGTGCCACGACGCCCCTGCCGCCGCCCCTCCTGCTCCTACTCCTGGTCCGGACGCCGCGCCACTGCGGGCGGGTCTCCCGCCGGCGCCGGCGCCACCGCGAAAGCCACCACACTCGGCCCGCCGCCGCACGATCAGCTCCTCCAGCACCTTCTCCTCCTCCTCGGGGCTCAGCGGCCCGCTTCCCGGCACTCCACCTACTCCTTTGATAGGCCCCTCCGGACGCGCCACGCCGCCCGAAACACCGCCAACGCTCAGCCCGGTAGCAGCCGCGCCGAGCACGACTCTGCCCCTCTCCCTGCCGACCGCGCGCCGCACCTGCGCGCGCGTCATCGGGCCCGGGGCGCGCAGCCGGCGCGCCAGGAGGGCCGCCTGCTCGCGGTCGTCGGCAGTGGCGGGGTCGAGGAGGGCGGCGAGGGCGGCGGGGTCGAGAAGGTCCGGGTCCGGGGTCGGGGAGGGGGAGGCACGGGGGCTGTAGCGGGAATGGGGATAGAGGGAAGAAGGGCGCGGGCTAGATTGGGTGGGTGTACGCTGGCCATCTGTTAGCCAGTCGGCGTCGGGGTCTGGTGACGTCGTGGTTGTCGACACGGCGGAGGACGACACGACGCTCGTCGCGTCGTCGTCGTCGTCATCGGCCACAGTCGAAGGCGCGCGGTAATCCCCGGAGGAATCCACGTCGCCCCACCAGCCTCCGGCCTTCCACCACTCGTACAGGTGCCTGTTGACAAAGTCATCGTCTGTGGACTGTACGGCGTCGGCGCCGCCGTGCAGCACGCCCGATATAGCCAGCCGGTTTTTCGTCTCGCGCTCGACGTCGACGTCGCAATCCTCGCCTCCAGCAGCAACGAACCGTCCGTCAGGCGCGAAGTACCAAAACTCCAACTCGCCCGTCTCGCCCGTGCCCGGAGCGCCTCGTCTGCCATCCGCCATACCTCTCGCCCCAGCACTCCGCATACCCACATCACCGCCCCTCCCCTTCCTTCCCGCAACCCTCTCGCTCTCTCCCGCCCACCTCACCAGCCACGCCGGCCTCCACCGTCTGCCCCCGAGCCCAACCTTCCCCAGCCCCGCCAGCACAAGCCGACACGCCAGCCCGACCCACAGCCAAAACGCCGCCTTGCCCAGCTCCGCCACCATTGCCATGCGACCCTGGCGGTGCACGCCGACTCCCTGGCCAACGACGCCCTGGTTGTTTCGTGGTGCGCCGGCAGGCGCCGCGCCCGGGCCCGTAGTTGCGCTACGTCGTTGGGGCGAGCGCCCGCGCCGCTCCCGTGCGTAAGGAGATACCCAGGCCGCTCCGCCGGCCGCCCGCGCGCGGATGCGCGTTGCTGCGTCGTCGGAGAAGTCTTCCGCGCGGAGCTCCGTCGGTATGGCGTCGAGGGTTCTCTGGACGAGGCCGAAGGCGCCGGACCCGGTATCCGCAGGCTGGCGAGCGCGGAGGCGCCGTGCGGCGGCTTCCCTGTCGCGCTCGTCGGCCAGCTCATCCAGGCGCTTGCGCTCAAGCCAGGTGGCGGCAGGCGTGGCGGGGACGCGAACCGTGGGGCCTTCGTTCAGGTAGACGGTTTCGGACGCAGCCGTTAGGATGGCGAAGCCGGCTTTGAGCAGCGTCGTGTAGAAGTCGTCGGACCACTGCATGCGCACGGGCGCGCTGGACGAGAAATGCACGTTCGCGTGGAGGTTCTGATAGGCAGAGACGAGGCGGCGGCGGACAAATGACAGCCAAGACGAAGGTCCCTGTTGCTGCTGTTGTGGTAGTTGTAAGCCAGGCGCTCCGTCCACCTCGTCGGCGGGTGGGAGCGAGAGCGCCGTCACGATGAGGGCGAGGGCATACACGCATGCGCAGGCTAGAATGCCCAGTAGGATGCACAGGTGCGGAATGAAACCTATGAGGCACACGGTCGGAAAACGCACGACGCCCATTTCGGCGAGTTGGAAGGGCGACATTGCAGCGCCGT